AATTTTGATTTAATTTTTTTTATTTTTTAAATTAATAAAACTTTTATATAATAAATTATTTTAAAATATTTTATAAAATTTATAAATTATTTTAAAAAATTAATTTTTTAAATTAAAATAAAATTACACTAATAATTAATAGACCAGTTATTGAATTGAGCCATTCAGTATTTACTGTGAGGAGAAGACTTGTCCCGTTTCCTTCTTCCAAGTCTTTCTCAATTACATTTCTTTATTTTAGATACATAGTCTATCAATTATTGACACGATAAGAGAATTGACAAGGCTGATCCCGCAATTTGCAGTCCAAACCGTGAGCGTGAGGGTATCCAGCCCGGTTGCGATCGGATCAATAAACTAATTTTAAAAGACAATCTCCTTTAACTCTTCCTTTATTGATCCGATCGCAACCGGGCTGGATACCCTCACGCTCACGGTTTGGACTTTGGAGTAGTGCCCACACTTGCCGACTGGTGGGTCAAAATCACCGTCCTTTTAAAATTAGAAGTATGACTATTAAATTTAGTCGATAAATGACAGACAGCGATTGCCCTCGATAGGTGTGAATGCAATTAACACTTTAAAAGAGATTGGTTGAGGAATGTACCAAAGATTTTTTTTTTTTGACCAGTAAAAAATTGGTAATAAAAGAATAATTAAAATATTACTGCAGCACTGATAATTAAAACCTTTGACAAAGAAACGAAGGAGCTGGTGCCCTTCCATCGCGGCTAAAGCCGCAAGTGCGGAATGTACCAAAGATTTAGTTGAGGAAAAGTATGAAATTTTAATAAAAAAATATTATGCACTTTAAATAATCTAAATAAATATGATACAATTAGACAGGCAAGTGGATACCGCCTTCTCTGGACCCCTCACGGTTTGGACTTTGGAGTAGTGCCCCCACTGGCCTATTGATGGGTCAAAATCACCCTCTTTTTCAAAATTAAAAGTATGAGTATTAGCGTACCAAGTTCTCAGGTCAAATCACATCTTATCAAATTGTGACGTGCTCTTTCTTTTTTTTTATGGGTTTGAGTTTACC